ACCCCTAAAATTTATCTGTGCTGATTTCCTTGTCGATATCGGTACGCAAAAAAACGACAGATCTCTATTCAAGCGATACGTCGACTAATCACAATCGTATAGAAATGATTTCTTCGAAAGCGAATGACGTACAGTTCGGGCGTAACGCTATTTCCGTTGCATTCTCACAGATTACACCCTAGTTGCGCCTAAAGAAGATTTACTTCAAAAAAACTAGATTAGACACTATCAAACAGATAACAACCTAACTATATTCAGTAAAAATCCCATTTAATTCATCATTAAAAAACTAATGCTTTTTCCATTTTTCTTAAACTTGTCACCATATCCTTTTTACCTCATATGCGAGATAAGAAGGTCCTGCCAGTGGGCAAAACCGATCCAATGTTTTATTTTTAATTTAAAAGAGGTTTTATGGAATAATAGTTACAATATTCAATTAGTACAACTCAATTTAATTATTAGACGGAACAACAAAATTTTAAATAATAATCTAAATATGAATTGTTAAAGGCCCAATTTGGCTTGGAGCAATTATATTGTGAAAACCAAATCAATTATATCACAACCAATAACATATAATCATGATATAAATGCAGTATTTTGCAAACTTTCAAATTTTTTAACCGGTTCAAAGGCGTCATGAATGGGACGGCCAGGAACAAACAAATCCAATGTCTTACTTTTAATTTTAAAGAGATTTTACAAAATATTAGCTACATTATTTATCCAATGCAAAAAATAAATTTTATGGGCTAGCCAATAACATTTAAAATTCGTTCAGCAGTTTAGGAGTCAATTCCGGACCACTTTGTGACACGTACTTTATATATATATATATATATATATATATATATATATATATATGTATATATGTATATATATGTATATATATATATATATATATATATATATATATATATGTGTGTATGTGTGTTTGCTAGTGTTCATTGCATATATTGCGTTATTCGATACAATAAAACTGCTACTGCAGTCTTTCGGTGCCTCGAAGTCGGCATCGTCGTGTAACCGTTGCACATAACCATTTCTCTTGTGAAATACAATGGAACCCGGCTAACGAGACCGATAATCCCTATACGCTTCATACTTCAAAACAATAATAGAATAACGTCGGTCATATGCCTCAAATGCTTGGTATCAGCGTCTAATGATACCGCGGATATTATTGCCTTATTCATTGGCCATGCTCGCTTAAAACATTTAGCCCAGTGTTTTCCAAACTTTTTCGCATTGTGCCTTAAGGCAAATTGCTGGAACTTCCTGTACTGTAATGAAATATTCGAGAAATTTTAAACGTTTTCAAATATATTATTACAATTTTGCTATCTCGTTATATCTGAGCAAATCAAATGTAAATCATAAATCAATTTATCTCCAGAACATTAACAATCGTCATTTCATTTCGAATTCAATTTCAAAAAAATAGTTGCCTAATTTACACCAAATTGAAAAAGTGTTTCCGTATAGTCGCAGAATTTGCAAATAATTCTGTGCGACATTTTCACTTATACTGTGCTTAGCTTGGCGGCATTTTCACATTTTTCAATAGTTTTGACAAAATTGGAAAAATGCTCCAGTACATAAACACTCTAAACGCACTTGGGTAAACATTTGTACAAGAGTGGCGCCTAGACTGTGCTTAGTCTGGGTAATTTTTGAATTTTTAATCCAAAATTACAAAAATATTTTATGGAAAATAAAAAAAGATGCAATAGTTTTTTATCCTCAAAAGCAATTGTTTTGTCAATAAAAGCAGAAAGTTTTTTAGATCATTCAAATCGGACGCTTAGCACACTCAAAAACTGCCATTTTTTGCACATTTAGCACTGTATCTTCGAAATGGCGGGACCTATCTTTGCCAAAAACTAATCACCTCTTCTCTCAATCATTACAAATTGAATGTTTTTTAAATCATGCAAAATCCGATACTCAGTTCTCTCAAAAACTCGATGTGTATTTTATGCACTCTTTGATCCGCATCTCCGTAACGGCTGGACCCGCCTTTGCCAAAAACTAATCAGCACATCTCCCTATTAATAGAAATCGAATGTTTGTTGAACCATTCAAATCGGTTGATCCGTGCGCCTGAATACGTGGACGAAAAAATGCGGGCATACAAAACATACACACACCCATCCATTTTTTCTGAAGTATGCCAAAATGATCAGAAACCTTCAAAACCTCGAGAACTGCAAAAACTTCCATTTTCGATTTTCGGCCCATTACTATAACTACCCTACGGGTAGTTAATACCCTACGGGTAGTTAAAAATTGTTGCGCCTCCTTAATTTGTTCAACAATTTTATTTTTATAAATATTCAACTGATTTATCAGATTACGAATTAATATGCAATATTATGCAAAAATACCAATTAAAAAATTTTTGGTTTATTTTTGAAAATAGTGTTTTGGAAAGTGCTGTCCGTGCCCCCTTGTAACAGCCAGGCACGCCCCACAAAAATCCAAATCAGTTTAAGACAATATTTTCTGAACTTGTCCTATTTATTTTACATAAGGAAAAGAATGGTGACTTCAGAAACTTTGCTGAATCTGTATTTATCTTTTTAAACCCCCTTTGCGTTAATAAACAAATTCTGCTCGGTAGTACATGACTCCTATCATAATATTATTAATTTTTTTAAAATTAATTCTTCAAATCTTTGACTCTTATGTTTTCCATAGTCTTATATCAAAATGTATTACAATATGATACTTTCGAAAATGTGATATCTGATTCTGTTTTTCTACTGCCTAGCCAACTCCCTGCTCATTTGATTATATTTTTATAAAGAATTTTGTATTTCAAAGTTTATTCGTGAAAAATACCTGCTTTTATTAGATTAAACAAATTACAGAACATTCGGCCTTTAATTCTTTAGTTACTAAAATGTTTTAAATTTATTACTCTCAAATTCATTGTTGCTCTATTCAATGTTATACCGTTTTGAAGTAGATATATTAATATAAGAATGAACTATACTTTAATGAGCTGACTAATTAATAGGTGCAACTTAGAATTTCTAGGGACACCTCCAGGGCAAATCTAAAAATAGTCGTCGATTAACTACTCGTCAATTTTTTTAACATCAACTTATAATCCAGGCGGGTTTTTGACTTTTGATTTTTATTCTGCTTCTTAAATACTCGGAAGCCGCAGGTGTTAAAAATATAATGCTTGCATTAAGCAGTTATTTAAATAATATATATTTACTCTCGTTCATGGTGCACATTGAAATTTTAATTGAAACTATTTTCAAGAGTTCAATTTATCACTAAATAATGTATATATGTGTAAAACTATCTTATATGTAAAATTATCCATGTTTGTTTAATTATTTTTATTAACTTACCGTGGGGTAAATTATAGTAAAGGGCCAAAATTCGAAAATGAAATTTTTTGCATATCTTTACGTTTTAGAGGTTTCAGAACCTTTTGGCATACTTCAGAAAAAATAGATGTGTATGGATTATCCGATTTGAGCGATTCCAAAAGCATTCGATTCCTATTGATCAGGAGACGTGCTGATTAGTTTTTGACAAAGACAGGTATTTATAATAATCTACTTGAAAACATTTTATATCCCAGGAATATTTAATTGAGGTATGGGAAGTACCATCAATTTGCTTTAATGCAGGATGCCATACACCACTAGTTTTAAATTAATCTTGTGATGAAGGTAATTTTAGGTATGCTTAATAAACAAACTAGTTGTGCATTGCATCGTGCCTTAAGGCAAATTGCTGGAACTAATTATTTAGTAATTAAACATTCGAGGAATAGAAATAATCAATGATTGTTTTAAATAATTTCAAATAGATTATTTATTATAAATACATACTGTAAATTTATAGTGCTTATTACATTGGGCGAAGAGCGTTTTCTATAACAACTTATATGTTTACAATAATTTTCTCAATTCTTTTATAAGTTTAATTTTTTGGAAATTTTGAAATTTTTGAAAAAATCGATTTTCTTTAAATTCTTGAAAATTTGGGGATTTTTGTAAATAATCGTTTTTTTTAGAAAATTTTGAAATATCCTCAAATTTTTATGAAAAATCGATTTTTGCTATAATTTTAAAACCTTTAGTACCGCCTTTAACCGCCAAGACCAAAGTTGTCTAATCTTCGATGACAATGTTTTATTTTTTAAATTGGAGAAATTCTGAATTGGTTTGTTTGCAATTTTTATTTGATTTATAATTCTTGCAATGCGGAAAAAAACAAGTTACTGTTAAATATAACGCACTTGCACACTTTTGGTTACTGTGTCAGCCTGCGGGACAATAGCATCATGATACGGGGTTTACATATCAAATACTTTTGCGCCTGCTAATTATATTAGTTTTGTTTGGTAGCGATTTTGCCCACCAAGACCGAAGTTGACTAATGGCAAAGTTTTTTATTTTGTAAACTGGAGCAACTCGAAATTGGTTTGTTCACAATTTTGTGAATGTTATACAGTGTTATTTCTGGTTACTGTGTTGGTCTGCGGCACAATAGCTATGACATCATGAAGGCGATTTAGTTGTCAAATCCAGTCAGAAAAATATCTTAATATTGTTGTAGGGCTCGCCCGTAGGTAAGCGGTTAAGAGCGACGGGACTTGTGTCAGAGGTCCCGGGTTCGATACCCACTTCGAGCAGCCTGTTGTCAGGCAGCAGTGACAACGATTTTCACTTGGAAATATAGATAGCGATATGTTTTCAAGTGAAAATAGGCCTCGCCCGGCATTGCTGCACCAATAAAAAGTCAGCCCTATTAGATTAATTCTAATAACAAAATCATCAAATGTGGATGGATTAACCATTGCGTTACCATCTAAAAAATTGGAAGTAAGGAGAAGTTTCAGCCCAACAGCTCATAGGACGTAAGGTTCTGATTACTGTTAAAAAAAATTAAAAAAAATTTTTTTTATAATTTGTAGAAATTGCAAATTTCTATATATTAATATCAATAACCTTTTTACTTGTTTGCAGAACGAAATGGAAACGACAGACGGCTGTTGGATTAGAACTTCTAGCTGAAGCCGGAAACTACGCAGCCTTTCAAAGGCTATACGGAGCCCCCGCGGCGTACTTGGGAGCAGGCTGGCCATATCCTCCACCTGTTGGCCCTCCTGTTGGCCCTCCGCCGCCAAGTTCGCATGGCGCGACACGCGATGGCGTGCGAGATGGAATGCCGCAGACAACAGCCGACCTGTATTACAGACAAGTCAGTTTCATTATATTAATTTATATATATGTTTTCTCTAGTCGTTCTGAATTGTTCTAATACTTTATACTATTGAAGAGTCATGAACATTACATTACTTTCCAAATCACAAAAAGCTCAATATCTCAAAGTTATTTTTAAGTTATCTCACTTTCGATTCGTGAACTCTGTTAGTTTCTAGTAAAAATTATTTCATATCGTTTCGAATCTTTCAATATCATAACTATACATACTAATTAAATAGTTTCCAAATATAGAAAAAATTCAAATAATAGCTTTTTCTTTCTGCTTTTTTTCAGGCAGCGGCTGCAGCTCTCCAAAAACCTTTGCCATACCGTTTATATCCGGGTTCGCTCGGTCCTATGGCTGTTCCTGGACCTAGTGCATCCTTTCCGCATCTAACAGCCAGTAACTCACTTAGTTCGCTCTCAAGTTACTACCACCACCACCAACAACAGCAGCAATTGGCAACACGAATACCACAGCAAATAGATAGTCCTCCACTAGATCCAGGCAGCCCTCCAACCGCAAGATCCGATGATAGGAGCCCTCTGCTTAGACGCGACAGCAGAGATACCGACGAGGATGAAGAAGTGAAAGTTTAAATTGTGGTTGTTCTAATTATTGAATTAGAAAATTTATGTGAAATAATTCAAATTAAATGGATAATTCACATTCAGGACATTTTGGCGTAAAGTAATGCTACGAGATAAATTTAAGTGAAATTAGTTGTGATATTTAAAAAACTCTTGTGTATAATATTTATAATATAAAAGGTGGATATGTAGAGACCATAAACTTTAATTCCAAAATTTAGATTGTAATTTTTACAAAACATATTTTTGGCTCAAAAGGAAAAAAATTACACGGAGTAATAGCTTTTTCTTCCATAATGGATGCATTAATGTGAGATTATAATCTCTTATTGAAAACCAAAATTGTAGATTACGAATTTAACTCTTTCGCTACGGAAGTGCGAGTGTCGCTGCTGAACGAGATCAGCGTGTCGCTCACTTGCACTATTGAACGGACAGGCACAACGATATATTTTAAGATATTTCTATGATAATAAAAAAATGTGTTAAACTACGCTCCTAATAAACTAGAATAACAATAAAAGACTAGTATTCTCAATACTTTAACTCATAGTGATATATCTTGATGCAAAAGCAAACACAAAGTGTCGCCCAGAGACGACATCCGTACACAATGCACGGATGTCGTTTGTAGCTAAAGGGTTAATTGCATCTATATGAAATATAATTTTTCGAAATTTAATCATTTAACGCACAGAGGTTACGATGGTTGATATTTTGCTATATCTACTAGCATATTAATAATTTATGTAAATATGAATAAACATAGAAATTTACTCGATGATTTTTGCTTTGATTTTAAATCATTTAATTTATATTTATTATGAAATACCAAAATTCACTTTTTTAGAATGATTTGAATTATGATTAATCAGTAATCATTTTTTAAAATTATGCTTAACGTTGTGCACAAAATGTATATAATAATTAAATTATTTCACAGACATGTTGTAAATATAATAATTATATTAATGTTCATAATAATTTGTATGATGGATTGTTCTTTCTGCTGTAATGTATTTTGCAAAATATTCTTTGAAATGCGTATTGAATGCGTTTAAAATGAATTCTTCACTTGCGTTATTTGTTCATATTATTTTGTTGTACATATTTCAGTTTTGTTCTATTGTAAATAAGAATCAGGTAATAGACCAGAAAGACGAAGCTCCTCAAAAAGTATAAAAATGTATTGATTTTGTTTTATGTTTTTGAGTAAATTGGGTTCAGATAAAGCTGCTTGATATTTCTATATCCAATCAGGAATTATAAAACGCGAAGAATTTTTGCATAACTTTATTATGAATTTTGATCGGCAAATATTATTAATGTTTACATTCTGACTAAATTTTGAATAAGATTGTAGATGGCGTTGATTTATATGTTTTGCCTAATCATTTTAAGCAATTTTTTGATTTAGTAGAAAAACTAAAAATTCAGCAATCAATATCGAGGACATAGAAAAAAGGTTTCTTACGAATATAAAACTGTCAAAACATATTACAAAATAATTAGCATAAATGAGACCTGGTTAATAAAATTCAATAAACAATTATGTACAAATTTCGATAGTCTATTGGTTCTCATTGTAATTTTATCAGCTGGTAAGACTCAAAAACTAACAAGATAACATGATTTGAGTTTTATTAAGCTGACCCTTTTTTCTAAGTCAAAACTAAGACGGCAAATTTTAGTGATGATTATTCGGGACGGCAAATGAGAGAGTCTCCTAAATAATTTCAATATAATTTTAAAATAACAAATATACTATTAAAGGATACAATAAAAAAGTTTGTTAAATAAATTAATTTGTTTCTAAAACAACTTACGAGCTTCTAGTAAGAACTTCACTATTGGCTCTTCTTTCACCTATTATGTTATATCTGATACTTTTTAGTTTTGCTTTTGGGTTCTGATTAATTCGCTTCATAATTAACTTGAGAAAAATTAGCACTTGTGCCAGAAAGTCAAAAAGTTAGGTTTTCTAATATTCGATAATTTTCGTGTAATTGAAAAAAAAAGTTAGAACTCAATCATGTGAGAGGCAGTTTTATCCCATCTTTGTAAATTTATATTCTTAGTTTTAATCGCTTCGAATATGTAGTCATAAAAACAAAAAATGAGTTATTATATAACAAAGTAACGTAATACCCAGTAGCTCACGTAATACATATGACTGAAACTATGAAAGAAAACAAAGAACGTGAATACTAATTTAAATATTGTGCATAACGTGTATAAAAGCTAATTAATAAAATAATATGAATATGCAATGTGGAGCGGACTGTAATCATTATAATTATCAACACACATACATGTGAATTGTTATTCGCAACATATTTCTCGAACAATGTGTTTGTGTGCTCAGCGCTTTTATAGAATGTTAATTAATTATATTGTAAAAATTATTGCCGGTAATTGCAATCGTGTCGCCTGTGTAATAAAATAATTTTGTTTCGTTGCGCTATCACTCAAATTTATTAATTGTTATTAAGACATTACAACGATGATGTGAAAGTGCAGCAAGTAAAGCAAGTTAATCATAAATTAATGGATATAAATAATTTATAAGTGCGCTTCTTAATTCTTAAATTATTGAATAACCGCTACTTCAAACTTCTGCTGTTATGGATAGAATTATTTTTTCAGTTCCATGTTTAAAAGTTCAATCACGACTATGCGGTTTTTAATTTATATATATTTTATCTTGTTCATTTGTAAACGAAGAGGTATTTAATTAGGATTTATAGAATTGATTTATTAAAACTAAAATAATTGAAGTGTTATTAGCATTTTTCTATTTTTGTAGTAATAATTTAATTTTGAAAGATGCTGATTACTTTTTTTAGCGTGTATGGTGTTTTTTGCTAAAATATATTTAGTCAAATTAAACTAAATTTTACAGTCACTTACAGGCAACAAATTTAAAATGTCAGTATTAATATTGAATAAATGAAGCCTTCCCGCGCGCTGTTATTATTAGGAATATTAATAATCTCGTAAACAGGAACTAGGCATATTAAATTAAAAATTTTAGTTGAGAAAAATTGTATTGTTTGATGGTGATTCGTTTTGTTATTCTGCTGTATAAACATAGAATATATGATGTTAAGCACTAATTAAGTAATTATATTTGTATTTACATGATTGTTTGAAATATTTGTGGCCAACAGATAATTATAGTACTATATATATTATATATTATATAATTGTATATGAGATTCTTGCTCGAAAATTCAAATATATATATGATTTAAATATAAAATGCATATTTCTCTTTAATATCAACAGAAAAGTAAAATTTGTTGTTGATTTCTAAATTTTTGGGTCAATATTTAAATCAAGCAGAATAGTACTCGTGAAACACATCATACTTCCCAATATGTGAAAATAATCGACTTTTTTAATTTACATTTATGAAATACAATGTGTCGTTATAAACAACATTTAGTAACTTTAATGGTTCATTAAATAAGGACAAAAAGGTCGAATGGTCACCCAGTGGTGATCCGATTCGAAGTTGGATATATTTAGCTTATAGATGAAGTCCTGATGTGATAAATATTAAATAAAGCTTACGACTAATTGTACGTGACATAGGATTACTAAAGAATATAAAAAAACGTTTTCTTCTGAGCCGTTCAATGCCATAGTTTTTTATAAAGTTTTTGGTCATGATGTTTGGGGGAATCTGTATTCTATCCTTGTATCTCAGACTAAAATTTAAATTTCTTTCTTAACTCTGTTTATGTTCAAGTCTTTATGAACCAATCAATTTGAGACATACTTGGGTGCGTTTAAATTTTTTTTCAAAATCTTGTTTTGAAATCTTTGAATTATGGCTGGATTTGCGCGCCGTTCCCCAGAGCTTTATTCCGTACTTCCAAATTGATTTTAACATGACTTTGTACAGAAGAAGTTTGGTTCATGTGCTCAACTGAGATTTTTGGTTTAACAACCAGTATTGTTTTCTTCTCGTGATTTCCAGATATTGGCGTTCCTTTTGAATATGGTATTTCCACGTTAGTTTGGCAAACCCAAGTATTTAACTACATTTGTCTGTTGCAACCTTTGTTTAAACAATACAACAGGTGGGCAAGTATTTGTCTTCAGGGTGAAGCTGATGTGAATTGACTTCGAGCTGTTAACATTGAATCTCCAAAGTTTAAACCAGTGGCTTATACTGGGTCTTGGTATTGGGACAGAACAGCTGTGTCGTCTGCATAAGTTGCAATGGTGCTTTTACCTTTTTTGTGGAAAATCAGCTGTATAATCAAGAGCTTTATTTATTGGGCCGAGAACACTTCCCTGGGGTACCCTGGATCTCGCTGGGCGTTTATTGAAGTAGCATCCTTAATAAAAATTGCAAAATGAAATTGAAATCTATTTGCTAAATATGATTTCAACAACAAGTATATGTCAGCAGGTAATACTTTTTTAAGTTTGAATAATGAGTCTGGGTGCCGAGATCTTGTCGAATGCTTGGCTTATGTCCAGGAATAATGCAGAACCATATGATTTTGTCTGAAATGAGTCCATGATCTTCTCAGTTACTCGATGGATTTGCTTTAGAGTCGAGTGTTTTTCCTGAAAGCCAAATTGGTGGTTGGGAATAATTTGGTCATCCAGATGCGGCCGCAATCTTTTCAAGAGCAGTTTTTCAAAGATTTTTGACATTGCTGGTAGAATGCTGATGGGTCTATAGCTAGGGGTTTTGTTCAAATATTTGTCAGGTTTGGGATTGGGATTTTTTTCATATTACTCTCATTTGGCAAATCCTTCTTTAACAAAAGGTGTATCTTTTCATTCTCATATGAATTTACAGTTGATGAATGTGGAATTTTTGAAATACTCAGAAAATGAAACGGCTTTTTCAACGTTACTTCAAGCCCAAGATTTGCCGTTTCTCCGTATTGGAGGAACGTGGATGGTAGGTTTCTTGAAGTTTTGGTATATTTATCAATGAAATGCGTATGATAATTTATAATAATGGTAATTTTTACAATATAAGT